CTCTTTCATTTACAGCGACGAGTGTGGGTTAAACCAAATGCAGAACAACAGTTTCTTTATGGTAATAACATATTGAAATCCGGAGTTGCTCGAATGACGGAAAATACAAACTCAAGTGAAGGAGTAATTGTTTACAGTATGAGCGACATGCCACTTGGCTTTGGAGTCGCAGCAAAGGTCTTTAATTTTCAGTTTTCTTTACTGCGTCGTTACAGATCACAGCTGCATTTCATACTGCGCAATAGTGCTTTTTCAAGTTTCTTTAATTTTTTTTCTACGTCATCAGAATCATTTTTTAAGAGCACTTCGCAGTGTAGAAATGCTGATCCGACCGCGATTGTTGTACTTCATCAGTCTGACTTGGGTGAATATCTGCGGGACGAGGAAACTCTCACCTAGTATGCTGCCGAACTGTAGCAGCCAGATCAGCTGCAGCCAGTGTTTGGTATTGTCTGTGATTTTAAACACCGCAATTTTTATGAGGCCTATGCAGAAACTCTTATAGTATAGTGTCCTACGGATGGTTCAACACGATACTCTTTCACTTTGTTCATGAATTTTAATGATGAGTTGTTGAGGCGCGTACGCGATATTCTGTAGGCTTACGAAGACGATACCCAATTAATTGAATGAATTTTGTGACGTTGATTTTACTGCAAAGTTCACTGTTAAATCAATCATCAGCTGTTGAGAAATTGACTGTGAGACGTAACGTTGAGTAAACAATAATTTAAATTTCTTTATTTTTTTTTTAAAAGATGACGAACTGTAAAACTGTCAGAAACATTTGGTTGCAGATGATTTTAAATGCGTTCTTGAAGAAAAAAGACGTCTTGAACATTTTTTAGGAATGGAGAACAAAGGATGGTTTTTTTGATAAGTTCAAACTTGGGAGTAAACCGCTTGCATTGCGGGTTAAGAGAAACAGCAGGCATTTAAGTATTCAAAAGTTACTGGCTGCTTCATTTTGTTTCTCAAAGCTAATCTTTGAAAAGAATATTATACCAAGCAGTTGGCTAAGGAATAATAATATTTCAAAGAAGACGCCTAAAAATCTAAGGAGTAGCACGGTAACGTTCTGCTTTTACAAAAACTCGAAGAACTTGTACAGCTGCTTACTCAGTGCTAAGTTAATCCCAGGAATAGTCTCTGCGAGCAAAGCTTCTCTCGCTTCACGTGGAGCTGCAAGGTAAAACCTTGTCAGTGCTAGAAATGTCGGGAACCGGTCGACTACCAACGCAGCCTTTGCAGCACTCATTTGTGGGCATATAGTGAGTTGCCTCACGAATATGTCACTGACGCATCGACGCTGCGTTTTTCTAGCATTCCTTTGGAATGCTTCGAAAGTCATTTTCAGTTCCTGGAAGTTGGAGCAAAAGTTTGTAAGCAACGAAAAAAGTACGAAGAGAAGGCAGAATGAAGAAGAAATATCTTACTGCTTTTGCTTTATTCCGATCGTTTAACCGACTTGTTATCGAAGAGAGGAACTGAGCCGTTTCCTTAGCACTTAAAGTTCGATGTAGAAGAAATCTAAATTACTTAATTTATTTGGCACACACTGCCTAGCACTGAGAAATAAGACTCTTTTTAGCCCTTCAGTAGTTAGTTTTCAAAGCCTGGAAACGAAGCATTTCAATATCAAAGATTGCTACATCAAAACGAAGGAATTACAGCACTCACCCATTTGCGACATGTGTAGTAACCAAAGCTTGTTCAATTGCTGCATCAGGTACTCCACTTCCTTCCACAACATAAATAACATTACGCAGTCCAATTGATAACAACCGCGTCTTTTGTTCTTCATATCTAAACAAACCATTTGATTAAATTTTGCAAATACGAAGAGTTATAAGCAAGAAAACAAATTAATGCAAGAGGATCAACACTAACCTTCCCTGCCGAATGCTGTGTGAGAGATCATCAAAGGTTTTCCTTTCCACGATGTAATCCAAAACAAGCTCAACATCGTTTGGAAGACGTAACACCCACAAGTAATCGCCAACAGAAAGATTCCGAAATTCAAAATGACAGTTCTACAACGCGTTTTTCAAGTCAGTACGATTAAATGAGTTGATTCATGGTACTACAACGGCAGTGTTTAACCACAACTCCAAATAAACAAACAGTCCTCATCTAGAAAAATTTTTAAAGCCAGCCTAAAAGCTCTTTTGTAAAGATGGTACCACAAGTAATACCGTTTTCGAAATGTATTCATGAACTGAATGACCACGCCTGCCACCATGATTTTCGCGATTGTCAATTAAAAGAACGACCTTAAACACAACTTGTTACTTTTCATGAAGGTTGGTAATTTTTCCAGTAAATTCCGATAACGCTAAGACAAGCCACCGTAAAATCCTTTTATAATGTAATAAATGAGAACCAAAAACTGTTCGAAGCAGTTCTGAACCGTTACTAAATAAATACAGTCATAAGCAATTCTAGAACACAGGGATCAAATACTAGCAAATCCGACACGGCCTCTTCTGTATAGTTAGAGCAGTAAAGTCTCTAAAAAATTGGCCATTTTTCCGGCTCACTCCCTCAGTAAATCCAAAAGAATTACGAACAGGAACTCCGACTGTAAGCGGAAGCAATTTTGGTCAGAAGCGACTCAAAATTTTACTTATAATAAAACCAGCTTTTTAAGGAGTGATAAACTTGTAAAATTTCAAAAAGTTATGAACCTGAAGCTATACTGTGCAGCTGATTTCCACATAAGATAACTTACTTCTCCATCTTGTCCAGAAAGACTATATTCGAGAACAGTGTTACAGTTATGTTCGTTAGCTGTACATACACCTCCTGTTAAATCTTTGCCAGTATAATTGCTAGAGTTTCTTTGAAAATTTCTGCTCCACTGTTCCGTGTCACTCTGCGTTCTGCAGATTGGATTGGGATTTTGCTGAAAACCCAATCTTGCCTTTTTGTCAATGACAGCAGATTTCGATTTAGACAACAGCATGACTTGTGGTCTCTTTTTTTGACATGCAGTAGATGTTGACGGAACAGCGGCACTGTCAGTAACTTTAGGAACGCCAGATAAAGTCTGAGGCCGCAGGAACCGTAGCGCTGCTCCCTTCGCGAGTTCATTAACATCTTTAATTTGAGGAGGAAGATCACAATGGCTGCAGTAATTTGTCCAAGCACCTTCGAGCTTCTGCGCCAAATAATCGCCAACACCTTAAAAAACAGGTTACAGAACATTATCTTAAACATGTTTTGAAAGAAATTAAGGAACCTTTGACGTTTTTAAGGTCACCATGCGTTTCAACTTCCAGTGGGAAATTTTTTAAATTTATAAGGGCCTTCGACAGAATAAACCGAAAATTTCTGTCCTCAGTAGAATCCTTCCATTCCGACAAAAGTTTCTCAAAAAAACTCTTCCTCACAAATTTCTGTTTGACTTTCACTCTTCTCACGCCACACTGCAAATTTTGCAGTGAACCTTCAGGTCCAACTGAAGGTTGCATCACCTATAACCTGCAAAAGCTTCAGTCTTTTCAGTGATAACAAAACAGCAAATAAAAACAACAGCGAACAGCACAAGGTGCTACGATCGTATCAAATTCTTTATATACACAGGTCATGAGATGTAGAACAATAAATATTTATTGAACCACTCAACAAAAACAAGGGAACAAACAATGAATGCGGAAAAAAATGATCAATAATAATGTAAACAATAAGAATGCAAAGAGCAAAAATAAGATCACCGTAGCTGTCTTAACCAGGATATCCTAGTAATCTTGCTATACTATTGATTCGATTAAAAAAAAGAAAAAAAAATAAAAAATAAAAACCTAGTTAAACTCTACCACCTATTAATCATAATAAGTTAAAGACGGATGCTTACATTGAAGACACTTGTAGGCTGGAGAACTTACGCGCATGAAACAAAAGCTTATAATATGTTACAAACAGAGACTAAATGATGGCAAGGAAACGAACTAGACACCGTTTAAAATTAGCAGTAAGTATCAATGGTTTCACTCCATACAGACGGCGATGGTAGAAGCCTTTGAAAAAGGGGAGTCGAGAATCTAAAAATAACCGTTCATGCGCAAAATTGTTGACCGGTGTTTTCAGCTAAAAATGAGAAACTGGCAAAGTAAATCAAAGGTAAAATGAACGCAATATAAAAATCCTTATAAATTATAGCAACTTGGCTGGAAAACAAGTGAGAGCAATAAACAAAGAGCTGAGAAAATAAGCCGAGATATCAAAAAATATAAACAGATCTTTGTCTATAAAAACTGAATCCTGAAGAAAAAAATGATCCGAGGAAATTTGTCGGGTAGATTCAACGAGAAAATCACAATCATTTTCCGTGGAGACAAAAGAAGAAAATTTCTTAACAAACATATATAAGCATTATCATATTAAAAAGAAAATACAAAGAAACTAGTAAGTGTTGTGCTGCTTATTCTTCCGACTATACTGTCCTTCGCCAAGCCTGCTTAAATATTCTGACACATATTTGCGCGACTTTTCTTTGACCGACTCAGTAACTCGCAACTCAACATCGTCACCAACTCGCTTCAACTCTTTTTCCAGAACTGCGTGGGTAAGCTGTAAACATTCTGCCTAGCTCTGACAAATCTCTTTTTAAAAAAAGTAAAATTCAGTGTATCCAACTACAGTCATAATAAATGACTTTAGTTGGATACACACTACGCCGGATTTATACAAAAAAAACTTACTCAACTCGAAAGTAATACTCATCTAATAAATACCTTTCTTAAGACATATTTATAGTCATCAGCAGAGGCAAATTTGGTTTTTCTCATCGGTTCTAATAAGCCAGCAACATGTTTACAAATTAAAGCCTTAAACGTCGCCCGTGCGTCGGTACGGTCCACGGTGCCCTCGGCAATTTCCACAGCTTCTGGTGGGAGCGTCCAAGAAGTGACTCTTAAAATCCAGTTTACAAGGACAGTCCAAAAAATTAGAAAACCGCATTACAAAAGGGTAAAAGAAAACAACACTGCTAATCAAATCACCAGTCTCTGAAATGCAGAAAATGCTATGCTCACTCTGAAATTAAAAATACGTTCCTAAGGTAATGGTTATGTGATTTTACAGCTACGCCGCCCTATCAATCACCACTCATATTTAGAAAAGTTAAGAGGAAGTAAATATAGACAGAACCTATTTTTGCTCAAATCCCTACCATATCTAAGCTTATCTTTTGAAACCCCACGACAACTTTTATACTGGGTTCACATCACACCTGGTTTCCTCATTATAGTAATAGACTTTCCCATCATCTGTAGTAGTGCGAATCCATTTTGCAGGCTTAGATGACGAAATGGATGGAGGAGGGGGAGGTATTTTTGCCTGACCTTCTGCATTCTTCAGCTGTTCACGCTTCTCTTCAGCAGCAGCAAGGGTCTGTAAACAAGGATAAGAAAAATCAAAGGAACAGGAACGAATGTGAACCATCGAAAAAACGAATAGCATAAATTAAAAAATCCGAAAAAATACGCTGTACAGTTCAAAGTACTCATATACTAGACAATACAAATGATAACTAACAACAAGAAGTGAGGTCCTGTAACCTAGCTGGCTGTAAACAGACGAAGAAATTTAATTCTTCAAACAAATAATCAGGTTTCTTCGTCATTAGTATTCGTCAAGACAAAAAAACCAAAACGGTAACTGTAGAAGTCTTTGAAAATACTTAAAATGTAGTTTAAAGTTATATTAATCATGTTTTACCTGCTTTAATAAAGCAATCTGCTCATCTGTTGGATTTTCCATATCGATAGTCAAGGTCCGCAAGTGCGGGTTAACTAGAGGTTTTGCAGGGGGTGAAGAAGAAGGTGGAGAAGGAGCTTCCAAGATACTTACATTTTTCGTATCAGGCTAAACATTTGACTCTAGGATTAGATGCTGATAAATGAAGTGTATATAGGGTAAAAATTACAAGTTATACAAATTTTTCTCGCCGTTATGATGAAGAAGTATTTGTAAGTTTTTTTATAGGAACTCAACCTTTATTTCAAAATGAAACCCACTCGCATGACAAACATACCGGAGGGACAGGCTGTGGTGGCATGTACTGTTGTGAACCACAGTATGGAAGACACTGTTGATAAATCCTAGTTGACGGGTCGTAATACATTCCCCATTCATTATCATAAGAATAAAATGAAAAATCTGGTAAACCACCAGCAAACATCGACTCCGGTAGTAAAACTGGAGGAGGCGGGACTGAGTAATCAAGACGCATCATTCCATCCATTTTTTCTTCTTCATCGTCATCATCATTAACTATATCCATTGCTACTACATCAAATCGAGATCGGCGTTGAGGTGCTTCTAGTTCTCCGCTATCCGGTGTACCTAGCGGTGTACTAGCTATAAATGAATAAACAAGATAACTAAACACAGTGTCATTCTCATAAATCGTTGTTCGTCAATTAATGGTGATAATATCGGGCAAGTATGAGACCCTAAACAAGTGGAAATATCAAAGGTTACTGTTGAAAACGACAACCAGGCTTTTACACAGAACCACTTAATATCAATGAAGTAAGGGAAGAGATAAAAGAAAAGCCTAAAAAGGGTGTGATTTACAAATGTGGACGAAACGTTTATTAAAACTAACGTCGTTTCCGAGGAAAACGGTTCAAAATAGGAATAATTCTCTTTGAAAAATCTTGTACTTCAGGCTTTTTCGCTAGAAAATATCCACGTACTCGTCGATCGTAATCCATTTTCATCTGACGTGAGAAGATGACATATCATACGAATTCAGTTGATTAGAAGTGAAAAAAAGACTTAATGACCAAATGAAAAATTAAACCCTCATCTTTAAAAACCGATGATCAGAAATAAAATGACCAACCTCATTCTTGTCGCTAGAATTATGAATACGAGAAAGATCCCGTCGAGGTATCCTAAATATCTCCTTCAGCGGTTCCCACTAGAAAACTGATTAAGAAGATAATTGCAAAAAACAAAATAGATGAGAGGTAGTTTAAAAGAAATAAAATGAAAAGTAGTAACACTCGAATTTAATTGAGCATCTGTAAATGAAAAAAGAACCAAGTTTCTTCGTACAGAAAAAATAGAAGAAAAACGAGAATGTGGAAATAAATTTAATGGTAACCTGATGCAGAAGCTCTTTTGCACAGGAAATTAACTTAAAGTGGAATAAATCAGAGGCAGTATCAACTAATGAAAGACTATCCGAAAGTGAAACTCTCGAACTCGAAGGAGAATTTTCAAGAGAATTTAACATGTGTTGTACAGTTTCCAGAACGACCTCATCAATAGGTCCAGGCTGCAAATTCGTAAACCATTTAAATTTCTAAGTCGACTTTTACAACAAAAAAACTAGATAATTAGTAAAGACTGGAAGAAGAGACACAAACGATACCATATCAATAATATGATTGACAGTCGTATTTAAGTGGCTATCCACAACCTGGTTTTTATTGCTAATCGGCAATTTTTTCAAAAGCTCAATAGCAGTAAAACGTAATTCATTAACGGTCTGCGTATCATCAATTGGGTATTCTACGGCAAGGATCAAATACATCAGTCGTAAGCCTATAAAAAGATGGATTAAAGTTCAATCAAAAAATAATTAGAAAATTAAACTCTACCCGCATTTTCCATAAACAGTCGTAGAATATCCTCGTTTACTTCAAGCAGACAACGCAAAAGAAGAATTCGCAGTGAGGCCTGTTCCACTTGCATCAAAAGGTGGACAAAATCAAGAATTTGGTCTCGATTCCGGGGCGGTCCTTTGCTTAAAGCCTTGTTAACTGCCTGCAAGGCAATGATATTGTTGAAGCCCACGTATAAAAAGAATCTAGTCACCAGGTTTCATAAAAATCAATTTTTTAAAGATTCCAAAAAAGTGCAAAACTAAGACGTAACCTTCGAGAAATCTTTGCTTCGTGGAGGTTTCCTCTGACGCCTTCGCAGCTTCCTTCGTTTCCCGTCCTTGACGAAGCGTCTGCCGGATTTAAGCTTTTTTTCCTCAACAGTAACTTCTTCGTCTTCTAGCTCTTCATCCTCCATTGACGGAGAAGCATCACTAATTTCTCCATTGTCTTCACCCTCCGTATCACTTTCTTCACCTATACGACCGCGACAATTAGCGGCACCACAGTAACACTTCTGAGCCTTTCGCCTGAAGTAAAGATACAGCCAAAGATTAAAACTTCGATAAAAATAAACTGGAAAATCAACTAATCTGAACAAAACACACTACGTAAATCAAAATTTTCAAAGAACTGAAAAACGGAAAACTTTTCTCCCAAAAGAAACTCTAACCCATATCTATCAAACTGATAATCAAAAACGATTTCCTCCCCAACTGCAATCGGTTTTATAGCGAAAAACCCTATGCGCAATCGACGATCCACAACCCACTGAAAAATCAAACAAGTTAAAAAAACTGGCAACTACTGCTCTGGCGAAAGAGGCTGAAATAAAACATCATTTATGTCAACAAAAATTGGGTAGAACCCCTTGACAATAAAGCATAAGACCAGGTTCTGCCAGTTAACCGTCAAAACCAAACAGAAAAACCTTTTGAGTTTCACAGTTAGGATCACAGGAGTGATTTATAAAACGTGAAACGTTCCCTTTGACAGTAGCATCAATTGCTGCTCCATTCTTAAGAGCCATAAAATAATGATGAATATGCTTAGGATCTCTCGCATACCTAAAGTAAAAATTTAAAAACATAAATAACTATCAAATAACCAAAAAAAGTAACAGACGAAAGAATATGAAAAGAGAACTTTAATGAACGGCGTCGAAGCTGCTCAGCGCTAATTACTTCACCAACGTACTCGATAATAAATCGTCCTCTGAAAGAATTAAGCAGAGCTAGTTCTTACAAAACAAATTTTTTATTGTGGTTATACTAAAACCCTCTCAATATTATACTATATTTTTTAACCTGGTGAAAGTCAAATATTATTTCACCCCGTATAAGTAAAACTAACACTTCTAAATGTTCAAGCGCTCTTAGGCCATATCCTTTTATACCAGCATCGAAAACTTCAACTTTGGCGTACTCCCTCTAAAATGCTTACTCTTAATTCAGGTAGTTTAAAACGGTTACTAAATGAAAAAACCGAGAAAAAGCAGAAAATAAAAATTCTTTAGGACGATACATTCTTAATTCGCCGATTTGAACACTTTTCTCCACTAGGACACCGCGAACCACATTCAACACTAAGCTCTCTATTTATACATCCCGGACCACATCCACGTCCCGAAGCTATTTCTTCAGGAGTAGGATCACAAAAGCAACGTATAACCTGAAATAAACAATAAAAATCGAAAAATTAGTAAAAATCATAAAGAAATGGTTATTCACTTCATAAATGAAGGTAAGAACATAGCAGAAGAAGACTGCAAAGAAAATCTAACCTGGAAGATCTTTAAATAATGCATGAAATAACTTTAAAAACTAACCTTAGCCTCCTTCACTAAACTTTCATCACAAAGAATTTCACTCTCATCGATCTCGACGAAAACAGGATTCACTTTAACGTTCTTGACCTCGCCATTCATCAGAATTTCCTCTTTTTCACTAACAGCATCAACTGGACTGCATTTGGTATGAGACTCCAAGCTGACTTCACCATCATGAAAAGTATCTGTGGAGTTCTCTTCAACTTCCACTAAGCTTGCGAGCTGAAATACAAAACTAATTAAACTAGTTAACTGTCACATTTAATTTAATATAAACAGGTACACCATGTAAAACATCTGATTTAAAAAAAAAAAAAAAGAAGTTCAAAGTGAAAACAATGAAAAAAATACACAGTTCTTGGTAGTAAATAAATCCCAGAAAAATGATGTAAGAAGCAACATAGTAGCCACCAAACTTTGCAAAACTTCCAGAGAAAAAATCGAAACAGCCTGAACAAGTGAAAAAACTATTGGTCACACTGACCAATCTTTAAAAGCAATCGGCCAATTTTTAGATTTCGATTAATAACAGTATAAAATAGAAAACAAAAAACTTTTCGCCCAAAAAAGCATCAAAAAACAAATAAAAAATGTTGTCATATCTAACTGGACCCTAGCAGTACAACTGTGAAGCAAGAACAACGACTGTAAAAGAAGAGGTACGCTCACAGCTGGAGGGTGCGCAGAATTTTTGTGTCGATAATGCATTTAATTACAGAATAATTCCTGTTGACTATTTAGAGCTTTTTTTGTAATAGAAATGCGGTCACGTTCACGAATTAATAGTTTGTAGTAGTAAGTAAAGCATGTAAATTTCTTGTTGACGAAGATTCTGATTTCATTTATAAATTCCAGTTGGACGACAGCTGTTTTTAACAAGTTAACAAAAAAAAACCTTCCTGAAATTTAAACGAGAGTTTTCTGTGTGTGCATCAGTCAAGTACAAAGATTCTATAAGGATCCAGAAACACCCTTAAGTACCTGGATACCAAGACGAATTAATAAATAAAACCAGAACCTACATTCGCAAGAAATTTATATACCTTACTCATTATCACAGATTATTAACACTTGATTGTGACAGCATATTCTTAACAGAAAAAACTAGATATTCAAAGCAAACAATATATTTCATTAAAAAAAAACATTCATAAGCAATAATCATATCCTCCTATAAGGCCTTACCTCTTTTATTTCTCCCGAAATTCCATCAGTTTCAGGTTGCCAACAATGTTTCATAATTTTCGCATTCATATTACTGGTGATGGTTGTTTTTAAACTATTTATTACAGTACTTTATAGAATTTAGACCTTAAATCCTATCCATCTTTGTTATGCGGTACCTAAAAAATGCAAACACAACAAATCCACGAGTAATCGAAAATATGAACGTAATCAGCGACAGTATAACGTGTAAAAAAACAAGTTTTATAGATGAACAAAATTTTTCTACCAGTAATACTTTCACAAAACTATCATTACAAATGAGGCAATTGAAAATACCCAAAAAATATATATATACAAGAATAAAATTTGCAGATTTATGAACATGAAACAAATAAACACTTGTAGCTTAACAATTATAGCACTCATAGTCAGCGCACAAATAAAGCATATGTCCAGAGTAATAATACTACCTCTCAATTGTTCAATATTAGAGTTAACTTAAATCTCCTGGCACCAAGGCTTCCTTCTGTGCTAAATAAAATGTGTTTCTAGAGAAGAATAAACATACCCCCGATAACAGAACAAATAATTTAGACCAACAGAACATCGCAGCTCCGCCGTTTTCAATTCTCATAAAAGATTAACACCTCGAAAATAATTATACGCGTAACGAGAATACGTGGTGTCTTCTCTCACTGCTTAATGTACGCATACGTATGCATATTTCAGAGAACTGGGTTTCTAAGCAAAAAAAATAAAAGAAAAAAATGTGAATCAAAAACTGAAAAAAAGACTCAGAATAAAATAGTTCTACAATGTTCATTAAAAACAAAATTAGAGTGAAAAAGATCTAAAAGCACGATCACGTGGTGTGAATAAGCAAAGTTGTCGCGCATGAACCAACATCGAATGCTTGTAACGCTTCTACATGTGTCAACTGCAAAGTATAATATTCCAAATGTCTGAGTTACTTTAAGTGTAAAACACAAATAGTATGCAAAAGGCGACAAGATTAAAACAGAAACTTCAAGTTGGTTAGAATTTAGTAAAATCAAGATGCACTGAACAAACATGAGACTTCAGGTGATA